AGGCACCTATCTTAGGTCACACCAAGGATTTGAAACCAGCCTGCTCTTGGCACTGGGCTTTTAGTCACTGCACAGCATTACCTTTGTTTTACGCAAAAGGTAGAAGCTGCCATGAAAAGCCAGACTTAAAGACTGAATGCATCATCTAAAAATGCTGTAAGGATAGAGGGCCCTGGGGCCCAGCTGCTCTGTACCCTATTCCCGTTTCACAAATGGGAAAACTGAGGCAAGGGAAGGGACCTACTTGGTTTGTTGGGTCATGTAGGCAAGAGGCAACTGAGCTGGGCCCCTGCTCCCAGTGTCCTCTCTGGGGGACACTTGACCAAGCTTCTCTCAATGCCAGGAACCTGGGAGAAAAGCGGCTCCTATGGAAGCTTCCAGATGTGTCTGAGGCAGGGGGTGAGTTATGGTTGTGCATGAGGGCTTGGGGGTCACAGCTGGGAGGGACTTATTTAAACTGGGGAGAACTGGGGACATGCTGGGGGCAGGGAAGCGTGGGCACTGAGGAAAGCTTGAAAGGGCTTTGACAAAGCGGGGGAAAGGGCATCCCTGGGGCAGGCACAGCAGATGCAGAAGCCCCGAGGGAGGGCTCCTTAGCAAACCTCACATGGCCCCGTGGGGACAAAGGGGAAGGATTCAAGGCACAGAGGATGTCTGAGGGAGAGGACAGAGGCCACAGGCCGGAGGGTGCGGGTGTAGGGCCGAGGAGGAACCTGGGTCTCAGTGGGACTGGGGCTGGAGCCCTGCTGACCTCAGACCTCCCCAGGCTCTGGCCATCTATCTGCCAGCTGGGAGCCGTGCTCAGGGCCCAGCACACCCAGCCCAGTGGCTGCTCAGTTCACCAGTGAGGGAACCACTCTGTCGGGCGTGGACCTGGAGCTGGTGGGCAGTGGCTACCGCATGTCATTGGTAAAGCGGAGGTTCGCCACAGGTACTCCCCTGCCCCACTGCTGTACACCCCTGGAGCTGGGCCCAAGCGGGAGCTGGGGGAGACACTTGGAGTGTTGGGGAAGGATGGGTGGGTGCTGGGGCTTGGAGACCCAGGTTGGGGGACACAGGTGGTGAGGGCTGGTCAGGACTGCAATGGGAGGGGTCAAGAAGGGCTGCCATCTCCTACCCCCACCCCATTCTCCTGCCCCCATAAGGGGCTGTGGGGGACCAGGGGGAAGTGGGAACAGCAGGGGTGTTTTGAGGAGGATTGGGTGAGGGGTAAAGAAGGGGTAAGGGACCCCCTTTTCCCTCCTCATGGCCCCCCTCCACAGGAATGTACCTGGTGAGCTGCTGAGTGTGCAGAGGCTGCCCAGCCCCGCTGGTCCCGGCTCTGCCCTGCATCCTGGTGCTCACTGACTGCTCCCTGCCTTCCTGCCAGACCCTGGGTCCCACCCTGGCCTCCGCCAAGGCCCCAACTATGTGGAGACAAGACCCACACCCAGCCTGGTTGAGCCTGAGATTCATTTCTGCTCATGCCAGCTCCCATGCCAGTCCTTGGACTTTTAATGTTCTTTAAATAAACACTTTATTTTCTAATAAAATAAATAATGATCCTTTTCCTGCTCCAGGAAATTTCTTTCACACTGCTAGAGAAGATGGATGGCAGAGATTTAATATTCCATCCCACCTCCAACTCCTACCCCTTCCTAGCCTGGGAGAGAAAAAGCCAGACATGGACACTCCCCAGCGCCACAATCACCACCAGTCCCATGGGCTCAGAGTTGGGCTGGAGGAAAAGACAAGTACTAGAGGAATCCAGAGGGGGATGTCAGGAAATTTCCTAAGAAGGGGGCATCATAAATGGGGCTTTGAGGTATAAAGAGGAGTTTGCAAGGTGGGGCTGGGCATCCCAGGCAGGGCCATGGTGAGTTGTGAGTTCAGTGTGAAAGCAGCCAATCCACATTGATTGAGGACCTACTGTATGCCAGGCAGCAGAGACACAGCTGTGAGCAGGACAAAGCTCTTCGTAGAGATGAGGTTATGAAGCCAAAATGCCTGAGTTTTAAGCAAGTGACTTGACCTCCTCAGGCCTTAGTTTCCATCTCATAGCCAACCTCACTGGGTGGCTATGGGGAGACCACACACCAAGGAGTAAACACCAGCAGTGCTGGCAGGGGAGCCAGGTAGGCAAGGGTGGCCTGAGTGGGGCCCAGGCCAGGTGTTGTAATGTGCATACTGTGTGGGGAGCAGGTCTGAGCTTGGTGGACCGTCCTGGGTCCCTGTGGACATCTAGCGGCCCTGGGGGGCCTAACCAGAGGCTGTGCGGATCCTAGGGACTAAGCTCAGGAAGCAAGAAGCAAGATTTGACCTGCCCTCTCTGACCGTCCCATCCAGTCCTCTGAAGAGAGAAGTGGTGGTGGTAGCGGGTGGTCTGGCTATGCCTCTGTTTCCCTGTCTGTGAAGTGGGGGGAAATCCTCTAGTTGGAAAAGGTCTGGGGAGCATCCTCAGTTCAGTGCACGAGCCACACCACACACCACTGCCTGCCCATGTGAAGAGTGATTGCACACATGAAGAAGTCAGCAAAATGAATGGCATTTCAGACCATGAGGGCTCCAGCATACACACTGTCCTGCCCGGAACAGGAACAGCACTAAGACTTTGTAACCTGTTGAGATGGACCATCCTCCTTGAGGTCTAGCTCCCCAGCTGCAAGGTCTGGTTCACATCCACCCTATGGGACCCTGTGGTTGGTTCCCTGAGCTCATGGGCCCCATAAAGGAACCAGAATCAAGTGTCCAATCCTGTGGGAGTGTCCCCTGCATTCCAAGTCTGTGCATGTGCGTGTGTGTGCACTTTCAGTGGCCTTGGTCCTTGCAAGGTGGTCCCTTTGCTGGTCCCCAGCTGAGTGGCTGGGGTGCTATCTCCACGGGATGGGCCACTGCATGAGGGGACAGGATGTTTGCCACCACTTCCTGACATGGAGGCACTTTTTCTTTTGGATGTAAGTGAATTGGGTGTCCTTTAAAACACAGAAGGCATTTCCTGGGTGTGGTGCTCTAACTGCCCAGCCTCCCGGAGCTGGTGTGACCCATACCTACTTTGCGAGGGTGAGCCCAGGAGGAAGGGTGGGACACCCATGTAACTGGCCATCCCTGGACAGGCAGGGTGTCACTTGGGGGTTTATGATGCTCTCGTCTCCTGTGCCTGGGAGGCCCCAAAGCCTCGTCTGGGGCACAAAGCAATTAGGAACCACTTGCCAGAGGTACCCGCATTTGATGAGTGGCCTCATGGGTGAAATTCACATCACAGAGGAACATTTAAAGTGAACAGCTCAGTGGCATGTAGCACACTTACAATGTTGGACAACCACCACTCTGTCTAGTTCCAGAACATTCCCATCACCCTGAAAAGGAAATCCCATGCCCATGAGCAGTCACACACCACCCTTCTCCTCCCCCAGCCCCCGGCACCCACTGATCTGCTTCTGTCTCTATGGATGTGCCTGTTCTGGGCGTTTCATATACATGGAATCATACAACAGGTGGCCTTTTTTATGTGTCTGGCTTCTTTCACTCAACATACTTTCAAGGTTCATCAATTCTGTGGCATGCGTCAGGGCTTCATTCATTTTCGTGACTGAGTAATATTCCATTGTACATGTACACCATATTTTGTTCCACTCTTTGGCTACGGTGAATAGCGCCGCTGTGAACATACGCATACAGGATTTGTCTGAACATCTATTTTCGATTCTGTTGGGTAGATAGGTAGCAGTGGAATTGCTGGGTCATACAATAAGTCTTGTCCCCGTTTGAACATGAGCGTTCCAGAACCAGAATCCACCTGGAAGATTTTGGAGCCACTCCGGAGGGTACGTGTGTGGATCTCCATGCCTCGAACTTCTGACCTGGCAGGCCTCGGGTTCCCGTGGTAAGGAGAGCTCCATGTGCCAAGCCCCGTTGCCTCCAATGCTCAATTTGCTCCCAGTCCTAATCTAACTTCAGATTAGGGCCCAGAGCAAGTTTCCAGGACCACAAGCAGGAAGGGGCCAGTTTCTCAGTGTGGAAGGAAAGGGCAGGGCCACTGGCAGGAAGTCATTCAGAAGGTTGAATCCCCCTCCTTAAAGGGGCCTATGAACTCTGGAAACCCATAGAATGGGCAGGGAAAAAGAAGTTAGGTTGTTGATGCCCCACAAGAGGGAGAAATGTCCCCGATGGACTCCAAAATCCAAGCGTTTTTTGAAGCCAAAGTGTGCATGCCAGAGCCACTGCAGTCCCAAAGCATCCTCATTTGATGCAGTGACATTTGATGTAATCACCCTTCCTACTGGCAGTGTAGATCATGCCCTTGTGACCTAAACCTCTCCCCACTCAAGGAGTCAAGACTTAGCTCCTCCATTTTACAGGCAGGGAAACTGAGGTATAACCAGTTTCCTCCCCTGGAAGAGACAGGAATGCCAGAGGAAGCTGGGTAGGGGTGACTCAAATGGCTGCCTGGCTCACCCCTGTGGACCTGCATCTCTCCCATCCCAGAGCTTCCCTACTCCAACGTGTCAAGGCTAGAAACTACTAAAGGTCAGCACAAGGGGGTTCAAATTTTCACCAATACCCCACCCCAAGAATCTTCTGATTCATCCTGCCACTTCCTGCATGCCAGCCGTCAGCATACGGACTTCTGTGGGCTCAGGACAGGTTTAAGGGTTCTGGAATCTTCCAGCCCCCTGCAGGTGCCACCTGACTCCCTGCCCTCTACCCCTTTAAATCACTTGTCCATGCAACACATGTTTGACCAGCCCTGTGCGGGGTTGCTCTGTGCCAAGGGCTGGGAAGGCTATACTTGCATACCTCCAACCGCGGGGAGCTCACTGCCTAGCTCTGGACCGACTCAGGTGGGGTTGGGGCCCCAGAGGGGCAGGAGAGGCTAGAGCAGGACAGTGTTACCAGGAGCCGCCCAGAAAGGGGAAGTGATGGGGGCGGAGAAGGGAAGAAGGGAGGGGCCAGCGCGGCCGGGGTGTGTTGGGGGGGGTGGGACTTCGACCGCCTGCCCCACCTGGAAACCAGATGCAGCTGCTAGGACAGCGCGGGAGGTGGCCGGCAGGGGCGGGGGCGGGCGCCCAGGTGAAACTTCCTCTGCCGCCAGTCGGGAGGAGCCCGGAGAGGGGGTCGGAGGCCGGAGTGTACCCTGCGGTGAGTGTTGGGGGCCCCTGAGGATCTGTCGGAGCCCCGTGTAGGTGAGCAGGGAGGAATCGGGGCTTCAGTAGAGGGGCATTTACCCTGAAGATGTCTGGAGGTCCAAATCTATATAAACCCATCGCTCCCGCCCATCCTCAATAATAGTAGTCAGTGTTTCCAAGGCTGGCTGGGGCTCGGGCATGCCTTCACTGCAGCAAATGGACACAGTAAGACCACCCTGGACCCCAGTCCCTCCTTCCCCCCTCCTCCCAGGAGAGGGCTGGCTCAGAACCCGGCAATGGAGGGCTTTCTGTGCGCTCGGCCGGTAATATCACTCTTGCTGAGGTTGTTAGCGCACTGATTGGCAGGGCCTGGGCTGGAACAGCTCCGAGTTTCCTGAGTTGAGTTACTACTGCGTCTTGAGGCAGCTACTGCTGACCCGCATGCCCGCCAGAAGCAGGGCCAAGTTCCAGTCTGGGGAACTCAGCCGACCTCCCTGGGGTGCAGGCCGCTCCCTGCTCAGCCCGGTTGTGTGGCTTGGGCAGGATGCCCCTGGTCTCTGGACATGCCTCAGTATCCCCTCTGCGAGGTAAGACAATGATCCACCTTCGAAGAGGATGCCTGAGGTGCTCAGCCTGCGTAAGCTTTCAGGACCAGGAGCACTTCTGGCCACTAGGGAATCTCTTGGAAGTGACTTTAGGTCTCTGAACCTCAGTTTCCCTGTGTGTCAAATAGGACTCGTGGTATGCTGAAATGGGTCCATAAGTGCTCTAGCCACCCAGTGGGTGTCCATGGAATGTCAGCCATCACCGTAACTATATCGCTATTATTTTTAGATCCTTAACCACCTTTTCAGGTTCCAATCAACTTTCTCTCTGGGTCAGATTTCTTTTTTTCATGGCCACTTTCAGATGGGGAAACTGAGGCCTTCCCCTACCTCTGGCCAGGGTCTCCTGTTGTCCACATCTGGGATTCAGGGCTCAAGGGGAACTGCCTGGATTTGGGACCACAGCATCCCCCCAGCTGCCCCTGTCGGTTCCTGAGGCAGCCACCATGCCAGGCAGAGCTGAGGAGGCCGGAAAACAGGTGTGTCAGTCAGCTGGGCCCCCACCTGGCCTAGGTGAGCAGATTGTTTGCCCAGCCCAGCCCAGCCTGGACACCCGTCCATCTACTCTCCCTCATCCCCAGCTGGTGGTGATTTCTGCCACGTACTCTGAGTGTGAGGGACCAAGAAGGGACCTTTGAATTTCTATGCTCTGGGCCAGAGCCCAGGGGATTGAGACAAGCTGGCTAGGCCCAGGGACCCTGGTCGAGGTCATGTGTCACTGGGCAACTTCTCTTCCTGCACTAGTGTCTGAGGCCTAAGTGTGGGCTAGTGACTTGCTCCCCCTCCCCTGTGAGGCAGGGAGGATGCCCACTGTGGTCCCTTCTCTTGATGGGAGCCTGACCTGGATTTGATTGCCCTCCATGATGGGGAGCTCACTACTAACAAACTAAAGGAAGTTGCACCAGGCCGTGGTTAAAGGAAGGGACTGGGCTCACACTTGACCTTCCTTGAATGAGTTCCTTGACCTCAAACTGTTCCTCAGTTTCCCTATCCATAAAAATGAGGCTCACAGTGCCCCACCTCCCAATGTAGGTATGGAGTGTCAACGAGTAGATGGTGGAAAAGACCATGTGCAGACAAGGCATGTTAACTCTAATCCTGATTATGAGGTTCATTGTGCTCTCATTAGTGACATTTATCATTTATCATGACAGAAATAATGTTGTGAAGACTGCCAGACCCTAAGTACAAGGCCAGGAGTAAGACCCCGACCAGCCTGAAGGTGTGGGGGTCTTCCAGGAGGCCCCCAAAGGAGGGGCCCGTGACACCTAAGTCCCCATCAGCCCTGGATCATGGGAAAGGGCCTGGGATGCTCCTGGGGCTCAGCTGGGGCAGGGCTGGTGTTTAATCCAGGACCTCTGTCCAGCCTCGGATTCTTTCCTGGACCTGTTCCAGGTACCCTGGGCAGAGGTAGGGGAGGGACAGGTCAGTGAGTGAATCAACCGTGACACGCCCTGGAGTCTTGAAACAGAAAATTCTAGGGTTTAAAGGTGTATGTCACGGTACCCTTACCCCTTCTGCCACAGCCAGGGGTTCAGTGATGTTGGGTGTATGTTTGCACAAAATCCACCCGCACGCATGCTGTTACTAAAGCAGAGGCTGGCCATACGAGCCTTTCTAAGGAATTATCTCCCCTGGGCTGCTGCTGCTTTTTTTCTGTTTACCAAGCAACTCATGCTTTTTGTTAAAAGAGACCAGCCCATCATTACTGGAAGGCCAAGCTGGTATGAACCTGGGAGGGATCACCTTGAAGGCCAGCAGGTCAGGGTTCAAATTCCAGCAACCCTCCTCAGTCTCCATTGGCTGTGTGACCTCTGGTAGGTGGGCACCCTCTCTGTGCCCACCTCGCCGTCCAGAGAACTGGAAACTACCCCCTTCCCCAGAAGGCTCAGCGAGAATATTCCCAACTCAGGGAATCATACTCTCAGGAGCCAGGACCCCAACTTGCACCCTGTGTCTCTTTAAGCCTGGAACTTTCTCTTCTCTGTAAAATAGTCTTGTTCAGCACTTCCGTGTCCTCTGCTAGTAATTCAGCTCCATGAACACAGGGCTTTCTCCTGGTCATCTTGGCTGTGTGCCCATCCCTAGACTGGGGTGTGACCCACACTAGGTGCTTGGTGCTTGCTCAGAGCAGCCACAAGTGTGCGAGCTGGAGTGGCCGCTGCTGCTGCTTTCGTGTTGTCGCTGTTGCTCTGTGTGTGTGTGTGCTTTGGAGGAAAGGCCACTGCTTGGTCCTCGAGCCTTCCCAGGACTCACACTGTTATGCACACAAATGGGGGGTTCTCCTGTCCCCCAAACCTCTCACCGTGCCTTTTGGCGGCTCCAGAATGTTCCATGACCCCAGGCAAATCCCAGCTGAGGGTTGTGTGGAAGGAATCGAGTCCACAGTACTGACGGTCAGCACGTGCCAGAGGGGAATCATGAGTTGGCAGCTGACACCATCTAGCTTTGCAGATGAAAATGCAGAGGCCCAGTGGGGCCTGGCTCCCTGCCCGGGGTCCAAGGATGCTTGGTAGCCAGGTCACGATGTCCTTTCTGAGGGCCACCGTGGGTGCTTCAAGGGCATCAGCTCTTGGTCCCTCAGCGGCTGGGCAAAAGGCAACTGAGCCCTCACTTTCCTGATTCTGAAACTGAGCCCTGGCGACTAGGCCAGTGGTGGGCACCCAGGTCCGTGGGTCGCTGGATCTGGAGTAGGGAGGGGCGTCGATGGGTGTGTCTGACTGGCCTGAGAAGGATCCAGGACTCACCCATTCCCGGCCTCAGTTTCCTTATCTGGCAAGTGGGAGCATCCTGTGGAGAACCACCTTGATGTGCTGAAGGCCATCACCTCAGTGACAGGTAGGTCCCCTGTGGTGCAGGGCAACCTGGGGGGCAGGTCTCGGCCCTGAGGGGTCACCTGAGAGGACACCTGAGGGGTCAGCAGGTGGGGCCTTGCCACCTGGGCTGCATGACGTTCTCATGCCCCTTCGTGTCTCAGCCCCTCTGCCTTCCCAGCCTTCCAGGGGACAGCAAGGACAGAGGTGCCCGGAGCCACATGTGCTGGGCTTTGCCAGGCATTGGCTGCCACCTGAGGATATAGGCAGAAGATGTGGAGCCGGATTTCTATCTCTAATAGGGGCCCCAAATTAATTCTGCTGAGTGATCAGCCCCTCCTGTACATCTAGTGTTTCATGAATGTTCAATAAACCATTAATATTTAGTGCCGTGTATATGCAGTGAATTATGAATATTCCGGGACTTGTGTATTGGCAGCTCAGGGCTCACTAATGGCTCATTCATATTCGTTGTGATAATATTCACTCTTGCATCATGAATGTCCCTTGCAATTATTAATTGCTGCCTTCCAATTATTTTGTATCTTATAAATACTGAATACCTACTATATAATTAGGTCATTAATATTCAGTTCCTCCGCAGACATTTGATGCTTGCTCTTTAAAGCATCGTGAATATTTCAGGGCTGTGGATATTTGGCTCTTTAGAACATTAGGAATATTTGGAGTTGGAAATATTCAGTGTCTCTTGGTTCTGTCTCCTGGGCTCCAAGCAGGCGCTTGTTGATTTGTTGTGACTGAATGGCCCACATCCTCCAAGGCCACAGGACCCCAGGCAGGGGATGGTGGCCGCTGTTGCCTGCAGAGGGCTTGGGCTGAAGTGAGGCAGGAGGAAATGGCCAGTATGTGGGTCTTCGTTAGCGTTTTCCCCTTGTGCAGCAAACACCAGTCACTTAGGATACAGCCCCACCCCATCTCTGGGGCTCCAGCCTAGCTGGAGAGATGGACAGGAAAGAAGTGAGTGGATTTCCCGTGTGCAATGGTGGTGAGTTTTGAGGAGAAGAGCGGGCCAGTTGGGGTCCCTCTAAGGAGGTGACATTGGGCTGAGTCTGAAGACTAAAAAGAACCAGGCCAAGGAGCAGGGATCCCAGGTGGCGGGAAGGGCAGGTGCAAAGGTCCTGTGGTAGAGCTGCAAGGAGCAGTGAGGAAGTTGTTGAGGCTGGAGCAGATGGGCAGAGGTTGTCAGGGGCAGGGAAAATGGGAGCTGAGTCAAAGTCCCGCACCAGGCAGCCACACCCCAGGGGAAGGCACTTGGGTCTTGGCCAAAGAAAACTGTCTTTTCTGCGTGCGCTGGAGGAAGCAGGCTCTGGGTCATGGTGAAATCCCACCAGTGCGTGGAGGGCAAACAGTCCCAAGAAGGACTGGTTGGTCTGGTGGGGGGGGGCTGGGCAAAGGTCCCTGAGAATCAGTCCAGATGTCACTGATGGTGACTCTTTCCACAGTGGCACTATGTCCCATTTTGCAGGGAGGGGCACCCAGGAAGCCCTGCCATGTGCAAGCAGTACACGGATGTGGCCATCCATCATAGAGCTATTGGGCCTTCCTGGTTTACATGCCAACATGTCCCAAAGACTGTCACCGGACATCATACCCGGGTCACCCACTGCCCCATAATGTCCCCTTGTGAAAGGCTCACAGGCTTCTCACATTCTGTTGTCCCTGGTCCTCTCTTTTCTATCTCCACAGCCAGGCTTTAACTCTCTTCATCATATTTCCTGAGCCCACCCACTTCTTTGTACTCCGTCTGCCAGCCCCTGCCATACCCCCAAATTCTTCTGCCTGCTTGCTGCCCTGCCTCCACTCCTGCCCTGATTCTTTTTCCCTTGAGCAGCTGCAGGGGACTTCTTAAAAACATGAATCGATCTTGTCCCTGCCCTGCCCACCCACCCTTCATGGTTCCCCATTACTCTTCACATGTAACATAAGAAATTCTTCATGGTCTGGAAACCCCCCTCACACACACCACCCTGACCATGTCAGCAACCTCCCCTCCCCCTGCCCCAGCCACAGCTGGCCTCCTCCCTCTCCCATCAACACCCTAAACCTGTGTTCACCTCAGGGCCTTTGCACTTGCTGTGCCCTCTGCCTAGGGCTCTCCAGGACTCTGCCCCAGGTGATCCCCATCATCCTTCAGGAGCTCCTCAGTCTGGTCAGGTCCATCCACCTACACTGTGTGCCCCCCTTCTTCAACAGCCTTTATCCCAGTTGCAACCAAACTAATCACTTCTTCATGTATTACTATCATAAGGGAGGGGCTGGCTTGGTCACGGCTGCCTCCCTAGCACCCTGCATACAGTAGGTGTTCAGTAAATACTCTGCGGCCCATGGGTCGATGCAATAGGTGAAAGGATTGCTCTCATGCACATTCACAGAAGCACACACCAGTCTGCCCCTGGCGTGGCCCAGCAGCAGACTGTTGGCCTACCTGGGTCCCAGGTTCTCTATCGACAGCTGTTTAGCACACGGCTCCCTGTGACAGGTTCTGGAAGGCTCTGGGGTCCAAGCAGGGAATCTCCCAGCAACTCCAAATCAATACAGGGATGGGGTGGACAAACTCTACCCCTTGGGATCCTGGATTCCAATCTTGATTTACACTGAGCCTCAGTGTCACCTGTAAATGGGGGTTTGAGAGGAACCAAAGAACCAGGATGGTAAGCCAAGGTCACTGAGGTCGTCCCAACCCAGCCAGGCAGGCCCTTTGATACACAATTGTAAGTGACCCCATTGTGTGCTGGGGGCTGGGGCTGGGGGTGGTGTCTCAGCGCTCCAGTGTCTGGTGATGGAACAGATCCCAAGGATGAAGGGACTAGCCAAGGTCACCTCGGGGCAGAAGGGGCCGTTCCGCACTGAGTCTGACCTCTCAGCTCCTGGCCGCCACACCCTGTGGGGCTCCTCGTTCCCAGGTGCAGCCCCACTTCTCAGCCTGGCATTCACAGTCTGCCCTCATCCCCTATCCTCAGAAATCCTCCTGTTCTCCAGATTCTGCTTTTCAACGAAACACATTACCCGTAATTCCTTCATGATGCTTGTTTTCTTTCCCGCACCATGCTCTCGTGTTTGTTCTTTCCTCCACCTGAATGCCCCTTGGTGAACTCCTATGCATTCTCCAGAGCCTCAGCTGCAATGTCCTGGTCCCTTCTCTCCCAGCCCCATTTCCACAGGTGTCGAAATTTGTCTCCCCCAGACTAGGGGCTTCTTGGAGGCAAGGCCAGGCCCAGGGTTGAGGCTCTCCTGTTCCCCAGAACCTATTTGTTGAATGAATGAATGGTTTTCTTATGTATACTTGGGATGAAAATTGCTGAGACCCTTTCAGGGTGGAAGGACCTGAAGACAGCAGGGGTTTCTGGGGTAATGCAGGGGCACCCACTGGACCACCTTGGACTCCACTTCCCCATCTATGAAATGGGGGTGGTGACTCCCCTAGAGTTACTCAGACCCACGGACTTCAAAGTGAGCAGCTGTTTGGGCTTCAGCAAATCTAATCATTGCATTGAACGGTGAGAACTGGAGAGAAGGGACAGCAGGATCTTGGGTTGGGGTCAGGGAGTTGAACCCAGGCCTGAGAGGAGCTTCTCGTCAAGCACCCAGCCTCACCCAGAGTTGCTGCTCTGTTGCTTAGAGGAAGTAATGTCAAGAGGCATCCCCTCCCTGGCACAGCCAAGCCCTGAAGGCCCAGCATCTCCCACAGCAGGTGTGGGGTCCCAGTCCCTTTAGAGAGAAAGACCCACCAGGACAGGTTGGCAACTGCTTGGGGTGGAGCCCACAGAAGCACCCAGACAGGGTTTACTGGACCAGTGAATCCTCAGCCCTCTCTGCCTTGCTGAAAGGGAGGCCTGAAGGTTCCTCTTCCTCCTTCTAGTGTGGGATGTTGTAAGGATGGCAGTATTTCCTGTTTGCGGTTTTAAGGGGCCATGAGTCAGCAGGGTCCTTAGTAGACAGAAAAGGGAAAGGGGGCTTGGATGCATTAATGGGGGTCCAGTATAGGGAACAGAGGAGGTGAGCTTCCCTCCCCCACCCCTGATTTGAGCTGTCAGACCCCAATCAGGAACTTCATGGAGCCTTGGAGGGTGGATCCCCCCATGGATCTGGGGAGAAAGAGTTGGGAATGCAGATAGCCAACAAAGGGCAAGTGTTTCATCTGCAAAGCGTTCTTACAAATAAACAAAGAAAAATGCTAAGAAAAGAATAGGCATTCACTTAATTAAAATCAAATGGCCAGCCCAAGAGGTCCTATTTTGCCCTGACACCCTGATCCCAGTCATGAGAGCTATTTAATTGCTTTTATCTCTTCCCATGCCTTTCCTCTTTCCATTGCCCAGGTTTGGCTGAATTGTAAATATTCGTATTTGCTGAGGTTACCGTCCTTTGTACAGGAGCCCTTGTTTGGAACTTTGAAAACACATTCTTGGGGAACTGGTCCTTGGCCCATGTGTAGTAAATATTAACAAATGTGTAATAAATACAACAATCTTGTCAGTACGCCCCATGATCAATCTATTAAACCTCTATATTAAACCTTCTTTGTTCCCCTTGTCATTCTCTCCTGACTTTGCCCTCTTTGAGGTCTCTGTTCCAGTTTCCGTGTTGGTTTAGGTCAGGATCCCTCAACCTCGATCATGTTGACATTTGGGGCTGGGTCATCCTCTGTGCCATTTGTGGCCCCCTCTTAGTGCCTTCCCGTGCCCTGTAGGGTGTGAATTTAAGCGACATGCCTGTCTTCCACCCACTCGATGCCATTAGCAGTCCCACACCTCCACACTGCCCAGATCATGACAGCAAAAATGTCTCCAGACATTGCCAACTGTGCCCTGGGGGCAGAATCACCCCAGATTGAGAACCCCTGAGTTAGACTCTAAACATGGATGGGGCACAGGTGAATCACCCTATACATTTTCACCCGGCCTTAATGAGAACATCTCTTGCCCAGGATTTGGTTCCCAGACACTGGTTGTCTTCCAGCCTCTGTGGGTCTCCTGCATACTGTGGCGTCTCCAGTCTGATTTCCTGTTTGGTGATGTGATCTTTCTATTGAAGCTCATGAGGATTTTTTCCAGCCTTGGAGCTCAGGGAGTGCCAGTTTGCCCAAGAGCATTTATTTCTTGTCTTCCACCCTGGATTTGGCCCTCTCTTTAGCTCAGGGAATATGTCTTTCTAAGATTCAGTTCATCCTTGCCTCGCTTTTCTCAGATCATAGTCTTATCTGAAGAGTATTAGCCATTTTGGGCCTCCCAGACCTGCCCTCCAGAAAGCCAAACCCTCATGGCTGGCAGCCGCCAAGCTGGGGATGGCACAGCAACAAGGCAGGTTGTGTGCCACCCTCAGGGTCCTGTAGCTGCTCGGGGTCCACCAGCTCATTCCCACCACAGGGCCTTTGCCCCTGCTGTTTCTTCCCCTGGGCCTGCCCACCAGACCTCAGCTATGCTGGCTCCTCTGTGTCATTCACCTTCCAGCTTCAATGTCCTCTAGACCTCAAAATCCAGTCCCGCCACCAGACCCCATTTCCTCCTGTGGCTTTTGTCACCTCGTACATTTCACTGAGGTTTTTATTTGGCGTTTGTCCCCCTTGAGAGTGCGGGTTCCATAGTAGCAGAGACTTTTCAGTACCTCATGCCTACTCGACATTGTGTCTACAGCCAAAGGAGGTGCTTGGTACAGAGGAGAAACACAGTAAATATTGGCTTGAATGAATAAACATATAAATCCATTCTGAGAGTCAATATTTTTTTCAGATGTTGTGGTAACCCGGTGTTCATGCATTCATTCATCATTTAACACGTTTTTTGAGCACCTTCTCCTACTTTGCCCCAAGCACAGTTCAGCAGTCTGGGGGAAAATGGGGAGGAAGACAGGGTACATGGAGCTTTTGTTCTGGTGGGGGGAGAGAGACAAGAAACTATACATTTAAAATGTTTTGTTGTGTGTATTTTAGATGGTGAAAAGTGCTGTGGGAGAAAGTAGAGCAGTGTTTGGGGGATCAGGGCTGCCAGTGAGACGATGTGCCCTGAGCACACCCCCTAAAAAGGGAATAATTGAGCAAAGACAAGAAAGAAGGACGGGAGGGAACTGCGGCAAATCTATGGAAGAGCATGACAGGCTGAGGGAACAGCCTATGCAGAGGTCCTGAGGCAGAACTGTGCCCGGTGTTTGAGGCTAAAATCCCCTACAACACCCTTACATAGGGTGAATTCCCCCACCCCTCATCCCCAACATCAGCTTCTTTCTCAAGGTCACGCAATAGAACTTGTGGGGTGAGATCTGAGCCCAGTTTCTGGGAGACTCTGGCTGGAGGCGCCTGGGCCAGGTGGTGTGCAGAGACAGAGATGACATGTCGGGGAAATGGCCTCACAGACCCCACAGGGTGGCCCTGTCCCAAGCTCCAGCACTGATTTGCAGTTCTAGATGGAAACGGAAGTCACTCTTTCCTTGTTCCCAGGCAATAGCTGGGTGGGGCCCCTTGATACTGGAGGGACCTGCCAGAACCCACTGACTCCCCTACACTGTTCCAGGTGCCAGAAGGGAGAACGAGGAGACCCCAGACCAGCACGGACATCCTGAGGCAGCCTGAGGTAAGTGCTGGGGTTCATATATTCATTCAACAAATGATTGTTGAATGCTCACAAAGTGCTGGCAGTTCCCTTCATGCCTGGGAGTTGGGGGGTTGCTCAGATGCCCTCTTTATAACGGAGGAAACCATGGCCCAGGGTATGGAGGGCACGCAGCCAGGCAGTGATGGAGTCAGGATTTAAATCCAGGAGTTGGGCTCCAAAGCCTGCACCTCTCTGGGTTGAGCCAATAAGTGCAGAATGGGTGAGTCCTGCCCTGAGTCTAATTCAGCAATTTCATGCTTCACTGAAAAATAAATCCTCAAATTTAGGGCTGGAAAACAGTGCAGACATCACCTTTCCAGTCAAACGGACATTAACAGAGTCCAGGGTATCCTGGGAAAGGAATCAGAAAGAGAGACCAAGGGCTCTGCCTGGATATGGGGAGGGAGAGCTTCTAGCAGGAGGGGACATTAGAGCTGGGGTTTTGAAGGATGAATAAGAGTTTGCCAGAGAGACCCATAATGAATTTACTTTTATTCATAAATTCATTCATTCAAACACTCCTTGCTTCCCCCATGTGTCTGCCTCATGCTGGGCAATGTTAGGACTTTTAAGAAGCCCCCAGTTTTGGGAAGACAAAGCCAGACACAAATTCTACCCTGGGATCAGGACTTGCCCGGAGGGAAAGACAGGGCTAGAGGTGCCAAACAGGGACGCAGGACTCTTTCTGAAGGGTCAAAGAGGGCTTCCCAGAGAATGGATCATTTTGGATGAGTTCTGAAGGAGGACTAGGAGTTTGCCAAGGAAGATAGCTTTGCTTGAGACATGCTAGTTCTGAGGGGTCTGTGAAAAGCCAGGGGCCATGCTCAGGACATGGCCCAAGAAGACTGGGTGGTTGTATCAGAATCCCAGGAGCTCAGAGCTTCCTGAGAGGACAAATAAAAAGGGAAGCAGGAAGGACTCCAGCAGCTCCCAGCTGATTAAAGGGGCTTCTCTGCCTCTGTCAGGGAGGCTTCTGGGCTATCTCCGAGGCAAGGACATGAGGAGGGCCAGGTTGGATGGGGCGGGTGGGGTGGATTCTGGGCACAGTGACTCTGGGGGCCTCACCTTGGAATCTTCATGCCCCCATTTTCTCTGTTAAAAAAAAAAAGAGGCAGCAGAGGTTGGGATGCTGGAGAAGGTGCAGCGGAAGGGAGAGGAAGAGGTGAGAGTGAGCTCGGAGCAGCTCTACCCCTGCGCCAGGTGTTGGGGTCCACAGCAGCTCATGGAGAGTGCTTAGCCCACCCAGGTGATAAGTGTTTTCTCTGCAGGGGTCTCTTAAGACCAATCTCAAATCCCAGCTGACCGAGGTGGTGTCTCAGCGCTCCAGTGTCTGGTGATGGAACAGATCCCAAGGATGAAGGGACTAGCCAAGGTCACCTCGGGGCAGAAGGGGCCGTTCCGCACTGAGTCTGACCTCTCAGCTCCTGGCCGCCACACCCTGTGGGGCTCCTCGTTCCCAGGTGCAGCCCCACTTCTCAGCCTGGCATTCACAGTCTGCCCTCATCCCCTATCCTCAGAAATCCTCCTGTTCTCCAGATTCTGCTTTTCAACGAAACACATTACCCGTAATTCCTTCATGATGCTTGTTTTCTTTCCCGCACCATGCTCTCGTGTTTGTTCTTTCCTCCACCTGAATGCCCCTTGGTGAACTCCTATGCATTCTCCAGAGCCTCAGCTGCAATGTCCTGGTCCCTTCTCTCCCAGCCCCATTTCCACAGGTGTCGAAATTTGTCTCCCCCAGACTAGGGGCTTCTTGGAGGCAAGGCCAGGCCCAGGGTTGAGGCTCTCCTGTTCCCCAGAACCTATTTGTTGAATGAATGAATGGTTTTCTTATGTATACTTGGGATGAAAATTGCTGAGACCCTTTCAGGGTGGAAGGACCTGAAGACAGCAGGGGTTTCTGGGGTAATGCAGGGGCACCCACTGGACCACCTTGGACTCCACTTCCCCATCTATGAAATGGGGGTGGTGACTCCCCTAGAGTTACTCAGACCCACGGACTTCAAAGTGAGCAGCTGTTTGGGCTTCAGCAAATCTAATCATTGCATTGAACGGTGAGAACTGGAGAGAAGGGACAGCAGGATCTTGGGTTGGGGTCAGGGAGTTGAACCCAGGCCTGAGAGGAGCTTCTCGTCAAGCACCCAGCCTCACCCAGAGTTGCTGCTCTGTTGCTTAGAGGAAGTAATGTCAAGAGGCATCCCCTCCCTGGCACAGCCAAGCCCTGAAGGCCCAGCATCTCCCACAGCAGGTGTGGGGTCCCAGTCCCTTTAGAGAGAAAGACCCACCAGGACAGGTTGGCAACTGCTTGGGGTGGAGCCCACAGAAGCACCCAGACAGGGTTTACTGGACCAGTGAATCCTCAGCCCTCTCTGCCTTGCTGAAAGGGAGGCCTGAAGGTTCCTCTTCCTCCTTCTAGTGTGGGATGTTGTAAGGATGGCAGTATTTCCTGTTTGCGGTTTTAAGGGGCCATGAGTCAGCAGGGTCCTTAGTAGACAGAAAAGGGAAAGGGGGCTTGGATGCATTAATGGGGGTCCAGTATAGGGAACAGAGGAGGTGAGCTTCCCTCCCCCACCCCTGATTTGAGCTGTCAGACCCCAATCAGGAACTTCATGGAGCCTTGGAGGGTGGATCCCCCCATGGATCTGGGGAGAAAGAGTTGGGAATGCAGATAGCCAACAAAGGGCAAGTGTTTCATCTGCAAAGCGTTCTTACAAATAAACAAAGAAAAATGCTAAGAAAAGAATAGGCATTCACTTAATTAAAATCAAATGGCCAGCCCAAGAGGTCCTATTTTGCCCTGACACCCTGATCCCAGTCATGAGAGCTATTTAATTGCTTTTATCTCTTCCCATGCCTTTCCTCTTTCCATTGCCCAGGTTTGGCTGAATTGTAAATATTCGTATTTGCTGAGGTTACCGTCCTTTGTACAGGAGCCCTTGTTTGGAACTTTGAAAACACATTCTTGGGGAACTGGTCCTTGGCCCATGTGTAGTAAATATTAACAAATGTGTAATAAATACAACAATCTTGTCAGTACGCCCCATGATCAATCTATTAAACCTCTATATTAAACCTTCTTTGTTCCCCTTGTCATTCTCTCCTGACTTTGCCCTCTTTGAGGTCTCTGTTCCAGTTTCCGTGTTGGTTTAGGTCAGGATCCCTCAACCTCGATCATGTTGACATTTGGGGCTGGGTCATCCTCTGTGCCATTTGTGGCCCCCTCTTAGTGCCTTCCCGTGCCCTGTAGGGTGTGAATTTAAGCGACATGCCTGTCTTCCACCCACTCGATGCCATTAGCAGTCCCACACCTCCACACTGCCCAGATCATGACAGCAAAAATGTCTCCAGACATTGCCAACTGTGCCCTGGGGGCAGAATCACCCCAGATTGAGAACCCCTGAGTTAGACTCTAAACATGGATGGGGCACAGGTGAATCACCCTATACATTTTCACCCGGCCTTAATGAGAACATCTCTTGCCCAGGATTTGGTTCCCAGACACTGGTTGTCTTCCAGCCTCTGTGGGTCTCCTGCATACTGTGGCGTCTCCAGTCTGATTTCCTGTTTGGTGATGTGATCTTTCTATTGAAGCTCATGAGGATTTTTTCCAGCCTTGGAGCTCAGGGAGTGCCAGTTTGCCCAAGAGCATTTATTTCTTGTCTTCCACCCTGGATTTGGCCCTCTCTTTAGCTCAGGGAATATGTCTTTCTAAGATTCAGTTCATCCTTGCCTCGCTTTTCTCAGATCATAGTCTTATCTGAAGAGTATTAGCCATTTTGGGCCTCCCAGACCTGCCCTCCAGAAAGCCAAACCCTCATGGCTGGCAGCCGCCAAGCTGGGGATGGCACAGCAACAAGGCAGGTTGTGTGCCACCCTCAGGGTCCTGTAGCTGCTCGGGGTCCACCAGCTCATTCCCACCACAGGGCCTTTGCCCCTGCTGTTTCTTCCCCTGGGCCTGCCCACCAGACCTCAGCTATGCTGGCTCCTCTGTGTCATTCACCTTCCAGCTTCAATGTCCTCTAGACCTCAAAATCCAGTCCCGCCACCAGACCCCATTTCCTCCTGTGGCTTTTGTCACCTCGTACATTTCACTGAGGTTTTTATTTGGCGTTTGTCCCCCTTGAGAGTGCGGGTTCCATAGTAGCAGAGACTTTTCAGTACCTCATGCCTACTCGACATTGTGTCTACAGCCAAAGGAGGTGCTTGGTACAGAGGAGAAACACAGTAAATATTGGCTTGAATGAATAAACATATAAATCCATTCTGAGAGTCAATATTTTTTTCAGATGTTGTGGTAACCCGGTGTTCATGCATTCATTCATCATTTAACACGTTTTTTGAGCACCTTCTCCTACTTTGCCCCAAGCACAGTTCAGCAGTCTGGGGGAAAATGGGGAGGAAGACAGGGTACATGGAGCTTTTGTTCTGGTGGGGGGAGAGAGACAAGAAACTATACATTTAAAATGTTTTGTTGTGTGTATTTTAGATGGTGAAAAGTGCTGTGGGAGAAAGTAGAGCAGTGTTTGGGGGATCAGGGCTGCCAGTGAGACGATGTGCCCTGAGCACACCCCCTAAAAAGGGAATAATTGAGCAAAGACAAGAAAGAAGGACGGGAGGGAACTGCGGCAAATCTATGGAAGAGCATGACAGGCTGAGGGAACAGCCTATGCAGAGGTCCTGAGGCAGAACTGTGCCCGGTGTTTGAGGCTAAAATCCCCTACAACACCCTTACATAGGGTGAATTCCCCCACCCCTCATCCCCAACATCAGCTTCTTTCTCAAGGTCACGCAATAGAACTTGTGGGGTGAGATCTGAGCCCAGTTTCTGGGAGACTCTGGCTGGAGGCGCCTGGGCCAGGTGGTGTGCAGAGACAGAGATGACATGTCGGGGAAATGGCCTCACAGACCCCACAGGGTGGCCCTGTCCCAAGCTCCAGCACTGATTTGCAGTTCTAGATGGAAACGGAAGTCACTCTTTCCTTGTTCCCAGGCAATAGCTGGGTGGGGCCCCTTGATACTGGAGGGACCTGCCAGAACCCACTGACTCCCCTACACTGTTCCAGGTGCCAGAAGGGAGAACGAGGAGACCCCAGACCAGCACGGACATCCTGAGGCAGCCTGAGGTAAGTGCTGGGGTTCATATATTCATTCAACAAATGATTGTTGAATGCTCACAAAGTGCTGGCAGTTCCCTTCATGCCTGGGAGTTGGGGGGTTGCTCAGATGCCCTCTTTATAACGGAGGAAACCATGGCCCAGGGTATGGAGGGCACGCAGCCAGGCAGTGATGGAGTCAGGATTTAAATCCAGGAGTTGGGCTCCAAAGCCTGCACCTCTCTGGGTTGAGCCAATAAGTGCAGAATGGGTGAGTCCTGCCCTGAGTCTAATTCAGCAATTTCATGCTTCACTGAAAAATAAATCCTCAAATTTAGGGCTGGAAAACAGTGCAGACATCACCTTTCCAGTCAAACGGACATTAACAGAGTCCAGGGTATCCTGGGAAAGGAATCAGAAAGAGAGACCAAGGGCTCTGCCTGGATATGGGGAGGGAGAGCTTCTAGCAGGAGGGGACATTAGAGCTGGGGTTTTGAAGGATGAATAAGAGTTTGCCAGAGAGACCCATAATGAATTTACTTTTATTCATAAATTCATTCATTCAAACACTCCTTGCTTCCCCCATGTGTCTGCCTCATGCTGGGCAATGTTAGGACTTTTAAGAAGCCCCCAGTTTTGGGAAGACAAAGCCAGACACAAATTCTACCCTGGGATCAGGACTTGCCCGGAGGGAAAGACAGGGCTAGAGGTGCCAAACAGGGACGCAGGACTCTTTCTGAAGGGTCAAAGAGGGCTTCCCAGAGAATGGATCATTTTGGATGAGTTCTGAAGGAGGACTAGGAGTTTGCCAAGGAAGATAGCTTTGCTTGAGACATGCTAGTTCTGAGGGGTCTGTGAAAAGCCAGGGGCCATGCTCAGGACATGGCCCAAGAAGACTGGGTGGTTGTATCAGAATCCCAGGAGCTCAGAGCTTCCTGAGAGGACAAATAAAAAGGGAAGCAGGAAGGACTCCAGCAGCTCCCAGCTGATTAAAGGGGCTTCTCTGCCTCTGTCAGGGAGGCTTCTGGGCTATCTCCAAGGCAAGGACATGAGGAGGGCCAGGTTGGATGGGGCGGGTGGGGTGGATTCTGGGCACAGTGACTCTGGGGGCCTCACCTTGGAATCTTCATGCCCCCATTTTCTCTGTTAAAAAAAAAAAGAGGCAGCAGAGGTTGGGATGCTGGAGAAGGTGCAGCGGAAGGGAGAGGAAGAGGTGAGAGTGAGCTCGGAGCAGCTCTACCCCTGCGCCAGGTGTTGGGGTCCACAGCAGCTCATGGAGAGTGCTTAGCCCACCCAGGTGATAAGTGTTTTCTCTGCAGGGGTCTCTTAAGACCAATCTCAAATCCCAGCTGACCGAGATGAGGTGCTTCTGGTCCCTGCGGACAGAGGTGGGCCTGGCTGCAGCCCTGGGCACCTTAATCTTGCTTCTCTTCCATCTGCACGTGTCACCCCCCACCAGCCCAGGACTGAAGGAGTCACTGGGCACCCCTATGGCTCTGACCTGGGACTCTCCGCCCTCCAGCCCCCAAGCCGCCCCCTGCCAGGCCAACACCTCTGTGGCCACCCTGCCGAACTTCATGGGTCAGCCGGGGCATGTGCGCAACTTCCTGCTCTACAGACACTGTCGTGACTTCCAGCTGCTGCAGGATGCGCCCCTGGACAAGTGCACGCAGCCGGTCTTCCTGCTGCTGGTGATTAAGTCCTCACCCAGCAATTACGAGCGCCGGGAGGTGGTGCGACGCACGTGGGGCCACGAGCGCCAGGTTCAGGGCTTCCCGCTGCGCCGTCTTTTCCTGGTGGGCACGGCCCCTGACCCGCTGGAGGCCCGCAAAGTCAACCGGCTGCTGGAGATAGAGGCGCAGAGGCACGGGGACATCCTGCAGTGGGATTTCCACGATTCCTTCTTCAACCTCACCCTCAAGCAGGTGGGATGGCTGGGGCTCACCTGATCTAGGGCCACCTATCCTTCCTGCCCAGATTGCCACCACCGGTGTCTGAGGGACCCAGGGAATGGGGGTTCCTATCAACACCCCCTCCACTGTCCTCATGGTCTGAAGTGTTCCTCTGGAGGAGACAAAAAAAAGGGGCTTCCAGAGCCTGATGACCTGAATTCAATTCCAGGCTCTGTTTCTTACTTTCTGTTTGCCCTTGAAGATCATTTACCTCTCTGTGCCTCAGTTTCCCCTTCAGGAAAATGGGATATTAATTGAACCCATCCACCTCTGAGGCCTTTTCGGAGGATTACATGAGGTGATGTTTATAAGGCACCTGGAACGGTGCCAGGTGCTCAAATAACCCTGGCAGGAGGTGGGCCTGGGACACCAGACAGAATACATCTTGTTTATTCTGGTCTTATCTCCCCATGAGGCCCAGCTCTATGCAGTAGGTGCTTAATAAAGATCTTTTTGATGGTCAAGAACCCATGGGAAATAGAATCCTGCTCAGGTGCAGATGAGGAATTGGTGGCGTGGCCCCAGGGTCCCACCCAGGTTGGCAGGGGTAGAGCAAACAGTAGAGACACAAGTTGACGGGGCCCGGGGCAGGTCCTGCTTGTAGTAGGTAGGCACAGGTCTGGGTTCAAGACCTCACGTCTCTAGTTCTCTGTTGTGTGACCTTGCTCAAGGCACTTGCTCTGGAAAGCCTCATCTGTAATGGAGGTGAAGACCACCCAGCCCTCCTAAGGTTGCATGAGAGATTCAAGGCATCCGGCATGCAGCAAAAGTTATTAGGGAGGAACCTGAAGCCAAGGTGGGTAGAGGACCAGAACCTCTCAACATGCCGTGTTCTTAATGCAAAATGCAAAAAAAGCATGTGATAGACAACAACTTGACAGACAGGAATCTAGCACCTGTGAAGTACTGACCCCACACTGGGTGCTGGGGAGAGATGGCATAGGTAGGAGAGACACGGCCTCCCCAGGGAGAGCCCAGAGTCTGGTAGGGATGGTAGATAAATAACAATCAATACGAGTATTTATTTAACAGCAGTGCTCGGCCAGGCAGACTCAGAAGGAATAGCAATAAATGTAACTGTTGTGACAATTTTCAAGCATGTCCTTGTGCTGTACAGAGCATTGCCTGTGGATCCCCAGCACTCCTAGAGACAGGTCCTATGACGAGGCCTGTCTGGAAAGTTGGAAACTGAGGCACAGAGAGGAGTAGTTGGTTGTTGACGTCACCCTACAGTGGGTAGGGTGGGGGCTGAAATGCAAGGTGGCCTGGGGACACACCCTTGCCCTGGCTTGCTAGGCTGGGACAACCAACAGGGACCCAAGGCTGCTTGCCCCAGCCCTCCAGCCCATGCACCCTGTCCTCCCCTCCTGCAGGTGCTCTTTCTACAGTGGCAGGAGACTCGGTGCACCAATGCCAGCTTTGTGCTCAATGGGGATGATGACGTCTTTGCACACACAGACAACATGGTGTCCTACCTGCAGGGCCACAACCCTGACCACCACCTCTTTGTGGGGCAGCTGATCCTCAATGTGGGCCCCATCAGGGTTCCCTGGAGCAAGTACTATGTGCCGGAGGTGGTGACACGGCAGAAGCACTACCCACCCTATTGCGGGGGTGGTGGCTTCCTGCTGTCCCGCTTCACGGCAGCTGCCCTCCGCCGGGCCGCCCACACCCTGGACCTCTTCCCCATCGATGATGTCTTCCTGGGCATGTGCCTGAAGCAGGAAGGCCTGAGGCCTGCCTCACACAGTGGGATCCGTACGGCGGGTATTTGGGCCCCCTCACCACACCTATCCACCTTTGACCCCTGCTTCTACCGGGAGCTGCTGCTAGTGCACCGCTTCTTGCCATATGAGATGCTGCTCATGTGGGACGCACTGAACAAGCCCAGGCTCATCTGTGGCAAGCAGACACAGATGTACTGAGGTTGTGTCAGGGTCCCCAGCCTCTAGGCTCCTGTCTCCATCTCCCTAGGAAGGGCCTGTATCTTCCTCCTGGAAAGCCGAGACCTTGTCCTAAGTGGGCTGGGCAGAGGGGAGTGCCACGGAGGGTTTGATGAGTGACTAGTTTGGCAGGTGAACTCATACACACCCCTCAGAACCCACCTGGTACTTGAACTCATGTCCCATCATCTTCCTGGACTCTCTGCTAAGGGACCATCTCTTTCCATGGCAGCTAAATGGCAGAAGCACCTCTAGGCTTCCCGCTGCCATTTGAGTCAAGGTTCCTCCCTATCCCTATCTCCGGTCTTGATTATGGGCTGGACCCCCAGACAGTGGCCAGCCTCTCCCTGGCAGTGAACAGGCAGTGCTTTCATGGTGGGTGAGCTCTGGCCTGTGGAGTTCAAGGCCAACTGGGAGCTCCTGGGTCCACACACAGTTGAAGCAAGAAGCATTCTTCCAGGGCAAAGAGGGGTTCCGTTCTCGACCCCCATCCCCAGATCTCAGACCCCCTCAGATGGTGGGAGGAGCCAGGAGACTATGAATGGGAGCACCCCCACTGCTGCTTTTGGTTGTCAAGCACTCCAACTGGAAGCGGTCTGTCTCAGGCTATGGGAGCTCAGAGTTCCTGGGGTCCGTGGCAGGACCCTGCCCCCACACCGCTGTTTCCCAAGAATCCACAGAACAGCCCTGGGGTCAGAGGGGTCCTCACAGGGCTCAAGGCCAGAACACACACCGACCCAGACCCCAGAGGAGAGGAAGATTCAGGTCCTTGGGTGGCCCTGAGCCCCCGGGACTTAGGGCTGGCCCCCACCCCAGTGTGTCTTTTGGGTTGGGGAGATCCAAGCGAACTGTGCTCACCAGCCCTGGCAGCCTCAGACAGGTGTCTGGGACTTGGCACTTTCGCGGGCATTGTAGTGGTGGTGGGGAGGACTTCCACAGAGGGAGGACTGGCAGGTGGGTCCTCAGAGAATAAAATGTTTGGTGAAAACCTGGAGATTGTTTTTTTTTTTCAGTGATTTACAGTTTTCAACTCAGATCAGTCTACATTAATTCATAATGTTACGGAAAACCTGGACGGGATCACTGATGGAACCAAGCGGCACTCGGAGGTCTTGGAAGGCGGGTGTATTTCACATTGGTGGGCTCAGAGGATAGTGCTCTCCAAAGGTCTGAGCCCCAGAGTACAACCTTGCCATGCCTTTCATACATTTACTTCAAAGCTAAGGGGGGAGTCAGCACCCAGAAACTGTTGCAGTGGGAGCTATTAGGTCACTACAGGTGTATTCAGGATGCTAGTTATATTTTAATCTATTTCTGTAAAGGTTGCCTGGATACCATATTATAAACTAATGGGCTTCCGTGACTATGATTAACAAGCTGTTCCATACCACTGAGTCCCTGAGTCCCGGTGGGGTGGGCGAGAATACATTGCTACATCACTGTTTCAATCCCAAGTATCCAAGCACCTTGTGGTTCCTCTACATTCCTGAAGCCTCAACATAAAGCCTGTTTCCTTGGCTTCCTTGGCTTCCCACCATACCTGCCAAGAGGGGGAGGGATTTGAGAACTTTATGAGTATTTCTTCATCAATAAAAGTCTCATTTCCAGTAGAAAATTCACACCAATTATAAATGGCATGGATGATGTGGGGTGGGGGGCTTGCAGGGGGTTCTATCAGTCAGATTTGACATCATCCCAGCCCCTGCTCATAAACCCTCCATGGCTCCCTATTACCCTCAGCTCAAACATCCCCCAAGACCGAGTCTCACTGCCAGCTTGATGGCAGGCTCAAGAGGGACTGGCAGAGGGTAGGGCTGCTCCCGTGTGGGACACTGGGGCTGCCTTTGCCTCCTGCTTCCGGCAAGGCTTCTGAATCCTGTCCTGGCCACCACCCAGCCTCTCCTCTCCTCCCACTAGGACCATGGCTCTTCGGTCCTCTGTCCTGCCTCCTTTCTCTCCTTTTATTTATCATCTCACCTGTTATGTGCTGCACGTTTTGTCCTGTACAACTCCCACGGGAAGAGTTGGCAGACACCTACCTTATAATGAGAATACAAACCTGTGAGTAATAAAAAAGGAAGTTATCAGAAGCAGTAAGGGCTTTCAGGGGGATTAAAATGAGGAAATTGGATACATTGACGGGGATGAACATTAGATGGGAAGTCAGGGTCTCAGAGCTGAGGGAGGAGGACATGGCCTTGGGGAGAACTGGGAGAAGGGCATTTCAGGCAGCAGGCACAGCATGTGCAAAGGCCCTGAGGTGGGATGATCTGGTGCATTTAAGTTGCAGCAAAGAGGCCATGACTGGGTGAGTAAAAAGAACATGGAAAGAGAGGGAACGTGAGATCACAAGCACTGGCCACATGGAAACTTGTGGGCTGGATGAGGAGAGAGTGTTATTTTGAGGGTGATGGCTCCTTTGGAGCAAAGCAATTACATGATTGATTTTTAAGTTTTAAAAGCCCTGTGGCTGCCATGGGAGTTTTTGGGAAGGGAGGAGGAGGCTGAGGCAACATCCAGGCAAGAGGTGGCAGGTCTAGATCAGGCAGGGGCTGCAGAGGTTTCTAACAGGTAGATCTGACCTCATTCTGCCCCTGTTCACATACCTTCTGTGGTTCCCCATCGCCCTTGGGAGGGAGTCCTGTTCTCCTGTGGTAATGGGCTGAACAGTGTACGTCCACCTGGAACCTTAGAATATGGTCTTTGCAGACATAAAATCGGGATCAAAATGAGCTCATCTTGGTAGGCTCCAAATCCAATAAGTCTCTTCATGAGAGAGAAAAATGAGCACAGACACGGAAAACCAGGCAATGAGAAGGTGGTGGCAGAGCTCGCAGTGATCAGCTACAAGCCGAAGAATGCCAAGGATTGCCAGCAGCCATCAGAAGCCGAGAGAGAGGGATGGAACAGATGCTTCTTCGGAGCCTTTCAAAAAGAATCAGCCCTGCCACACCTTGACTTCTGACCCTGGCCTCTAGAACTGTGAGTGAACAAAGTTCTACTATTTTAATCCTCTCTGTTTGTAGTCATTTGTTATAGCAGACTTAGGAAATTCAAACACATGTGACTGGATCACATAGTCAAATGCTTGGTCATTTTGATGAGGGAGGTCATATCATACAATCCCCATCTCAAGATGAAAAATGGATGCAAGGGAGAAGAATGGTGAGGGCTGGCTCAGTAAATGTCCACTGGGACTCATTCAGACATTCATGTGTGTGTCACTGTTAAGTGGACATGAAGTGGCATTGAGGCATCCCATGGGTCTCAACAGATGCCTGGATCTAAGTCCAGCAACTGGCCATTCCCTCCCTGTCTGACCTTGGCAAAGTGACCATCTCCCTAGGCCTTTGTTTCCTTGCTTTGTATTGTAATGACTCTTGAATTGTCATCAAGTCCTGGAAGTGTTGGCAAGTTGCCTGGGGACAAGCCCATGTGAGGGCTGGCCCAAGCTTGTGCCTTGAGAAAATGCAAAAACTTGCTTTGGATTCTGCAGGAGTTTTATTTATTTACTATCAGGGAGACAACAAGAGGGGCGTCACAAATGTGGGGACGGTGGGACCTGGGGCTCCTGGAGGTGAGGACATTTGACCCTCAGTGTCTGGCACCTCCATAAAACCAAGGATCCTTCGAGCCAGAGCTGGGGACTGGTTTCTCCCCCAAGTTGCCCCACAGAAGACAGGTGGCCTGGAGAAGATGGTGAGAACCCCATCCCAGAAAGTAACCGACAATGTCCCCACAGATGTGGGGCTTTACAGTGCTGTGTGGCTTCGGCTGCTCACCAGACCAGACCTTTCTGGCCTCAGGCTCCCATGAAGCCATGCCCCAGGAGGGTTCAGTGGGGACAGAGCACCAGCAGGTCCTGCCGGGTGCACCCACTGAGGCAACAGTGGTGGGCAGGGGTGGTGACAGCAGCCCGCCGGTGGGGGCGATGGCCAGAGGCCTTGGGTAGGGGTTGTGGGGCAAGTACCAGCTCAGGATCCCCATCAGCTGCCAGCCTGTGAAGGAGATGTCGGTCTTCCAGCCACAGCAACAGCTCACCTGGGGACAGAGCAGAATCCCCCATGGACAGAAGCCCCCTGAGGACCCCGCACACACACTGTGTGCACACACAAGCTTGCTTCCTGCTGAGTGATGCCACCAAACACTCATCGTGCACACTAAGCGTGCACATTGTGATCATGCATGTTAAGGGTGCATTATGCTTATGAACTGCCTACTGTATCCCAAGAGCAGATTTAATTCCCCATCCAGATGTTTGCACTCTCTGCCCTCGCCACACTCAAGGCCCCAGCTGTGCCACACATCCCATGGATGAACAGAAGACAGCAGGGTTGACATGTGACACATACAAGGGCATGTCCGTGCAGGCAGTGGGCACCATGGACGTGCACACCCCTGGGTAAGCACACACAGGCACATAGTCCCCTCTACTCCCTCCATCTGTGCATGTGCACACCCATCTGCACCCATGTCACAGAGATGCACACATGCAGGACACACGTGTGACACACGTGCATGCAAACCTGTTTCATATACTCTGTACTAGCGTCAGGAATAGGGTGAGGAGAGTGAACACTGGCTCTGGCACACAATTTAAGGGGCACCAGAAAAGTCAACAATCAAGAACAATCCTATTTTATTGCAACTTAGAAAAACTCAAAATCAACGCAAGAAATCATGAAGATCAAAACAGTGAAATTGCAAAGAAAGATAGGATCTGACCATGAACTTGCAAAATCTCCCTTGTCTTGCACTGCTACCTGCATGGCAGGGGACGCGACCTCCGCGGATTTGCATACACCAGCGCGGCTCGCAGGTGGTACCTGAGTGCAAAGCCGCTGGCCTGCCCCGGAAACCTGCCCAGCTGCGCCCGCGTGCACCTGCCCCGCCTGGAGACCCCAAAGACTACTCACGGTCGCCGCCAGCAGCCGGCCGGCCCTTCTGAGGGGACCAGCGCGGGCCTCCGCACACCCTCACTAGCGCGCGCACGAAGTGGTGGCCGCACAGCTTCTCCGGAGCTTCCGGGGCGGCCGCGGTGCCGATAACGGGGCGAATCGCGGGCGCCAGGGCCGGACCCAGCAGCACCAGTGCCCAGGTGAGAGGGCGGGGGTCCATGGCGGCGGAAGGCGCCTGGCCCCAGCGGAGACCCCCACTTATAGGTGTCCAACCCGCCCCAGCTGGGGACCTTGGAAGCGGGACAGAGCATTCCTCAGGGCGGCTCCAAGAGAAGGTCAAGGGCGGGGTCAGGGCAAGTGTAACGTAAGCCCTGACAGTTGGGTTTTCTCTTTTTTGTCGTGCAAGGACTTGCCTTTAGCTTTGAAATGAGAGGCATGCGCTTCAAAGGCGGCAATCCGTACCCCAGGGTAGGGCTAAAGAGCTAGGCACACTCCGCTTCCTGAGGCTCCCTTGTTTTAGAGATCTTGGTCGATGTCCGTAACTGACCATTTGGCCATGGCTTTAAATTCCCACTCTTTGTGTTTTAAAGTCACCAAAAACGAGTGAGCCAGGGAAACCCCATGCCCCTACTCTGGACGCAGATAAAAGCAGGCCAGGTGGGTGGGGGTGCTCTCTACCCGGCAACTTTGCTGTGTGGCCCCAGCTGTTCCGTGTAAATTTCCAGGTCCTATAAGAAATAAACCTTAATTCTTCCAAAGTTTCCTGATGGCTGTTGAAGGGGATCTTGCAATGGCAATGAAAACCACAAAGACCAATCCAGCCACAACGCTGGAACCAGTACAAAACAATGGGGGGTCTCTTTCTCCTTGGGCCAGGGCTTGGATGTACCCCTCTAAGGGGTGCGCTGGCAGAGTGTTTTTTAAAATGATTTTAAAGAGTTGAAATCAGTAAACTGAGAACTAATAATTCCATGGATGGGGGTAATCCAGCCACTGGAGGCCAGGGACATTCAGAATCTTGTTGTCCCTCTTACTATACAAGGAGACCACCTCAGGGAGGGGACCTTACACCTGCCCAAGGGCACAGGAGGCTGGGCCCTGTGACTGGTGGTGGTGGCCAGCTCTGCGCCAGCCTCAGCATGGTCTCCTTGGGCTGCACAGGTGCTGGAGGGCCGAGAATAAAGGGGCAGATTTGTACCCAGGCAGGGGAGAGCGCAAGCTGAAACCCCCATCTCTCTTGAGCCCAGAGCAGGTCCCTCACCTTTTCACCAAAGCAGGTGGTTTTTCCTGGGTTAAGAGAGTAGTCACAGAGATCTTTGTCTCTCCCTGCCTCTCTCTCCATCTCTTTCTGTCACTCTCCATATCTTTCCAGCCATCCTGATTTGCACACAGGGGACTGGCTTGGCCCCTGCTGATGTTGGACCCCTCCCCAAAGCCTAGCCCTCCCAACCTGACCTTGCCCTTTGACCCCCTCAGAGCAGCCTGTTCCCTCCACCCAGCAAAAGTCTGTAATCAGCTCCCCAGGCTGGAGCCAAGGCCAGCAGCTGAGGCTAGGGGGAGGGCTTCTGTCCTCCAGGGCCCCTGCCAATGCCCCACCCTTCTGTCCCTCCTCCCTCCATTGTGGCCCCTAAGGGTCTCTATCCCCCAGTCCCACATAGCCCCCAAGAGTCCCCATTGCACAAGTCTAGCAACATACAAGGGCATGTCCGTGCAGGCAGTGGGCACCATGGACGTGCACACCCCTGGGTAAGCACACACAGGCACATAGTCCCCTCTACTCCCTCCATCTGTGCATGTGCACACCCATCTGCACCCATGTCACAGAGATGCACACATGCAGGACACACGTGTGACACACGTGCATGCAAACCTGTTTCATATACTCTGTACTAGCGTCAGGAATAGGGTGAGGAGAGTGAACACTGGCTCTGGCACACAATTTAAGGGGCACCAGAAAAGTCAACAATCAAGAACAATCCTATTTTATTGCAACTTAGAAAAACTCAAAATCAACGCAAGAAATCATGAAGATCAAAACAGTGAAATTGCAAAGAAAGATAGGATCTGACCATGAACTTGCAAAATCTCCCTTGTCTTGCACTGCTACCTGCATGGCAGGGGACGCGACCTCCGCGGATTTGCATACACCAGCGCGGCTCGCAGGTGGTACCTGAGTGCAAAGCCGCTGGCCTGCCCCGGAAACCTGCCCAGCTGCGCCCGCGTGCACCTGCCCCGCCTGGAGACCCCAAAGACTACTCACGGTCGCCGCCAGCAGCCGGCCGGCCCTTCTGAGGGGACCAGCGCGGGCCTCCGCACACCCTCACTAGCGCGCGCACGAAGTGGTGGCCGCACAGCTTCTCCGGAGCTTCCGGGGCGGCCGCGGTGCCGATAACGGGGCGAATCGCGGGCGCCAGGGCCGGACCCAGCAGCACCAGTGCCCAGGTGAGAGGGCGGGGGTCCATGGCGGCGGAAGGCGCCTGGCCCCAGCGGAGACCCCCACTTATAGGTGTCCAACCCGCCCCAGCTGGGGACCTTGGAAGCGGGACAGAGCATTCCTCAGGGCGGCTCCAAGAGAAGGTCAAGGGCGGGGTCAGGGCAAGTGTAACGTAAGCCCTGACAGTTGGGTTTTCTCTTTTTTGTCGTGCAAGGACTTGCCTTTAGCTTTGAAATGAGAGGCATGCGCTTCAAAGGCGGCAATCCGTACCCCAGGGTAGGGCTAAAGAGCTAGGCACACTCCGCTTCCTGAGGCTCCCTTGTTTTAGAGATCTTGGTCGATGTCCGTAACTGACCATTTGGCCATGGCTTTAAATTCCCACTCTTTGTGTTTTAAAGTCACCAAAAACGAGTGAGCCAGGGAAACCCCATGCCCCTACTCTGGACGCAGATAAAAGCAGGCCAGGTGGGTGGGGGTGCTCTCTACCCGGCAACTTTGCTGTGTGGCCCCAGCTGTTCCGTGTAAATTTCCAGGTCCTATAAGAAATAAACCTTAATTCTTCCAAAGTTTCCTGATGGCTGTTGAAGGGGATCTTGCAATGGCAATGAAAACCACAAAGACCAATCCAGCCACAACGCTGGAACCAGTACAAAACAATGGGGGGTCTCTTTCTCCTTGGGCCAGGGCTTGGATGTACCCCTCTAAGGGGTGCGCTGGCAGAGTGTTTTTTAAAATGATTTTAAAGAGTTGAAATCAGTAAACTGAGAACTAATAATTCCATGGATGGGGGTAATCCAGCCACTGGAGGCCAGGGACATTCAGAATCTTGTTGTCCCTCTTACTATACAAGGAGACCACCTCAGGGAGGGGACCTTACACCTGCCCAAGGGCACAGGAGGCTGGGCCCTGTGACTGGTGGTGGTGGCCAGCTCTGCGCCAGCCTCAGCATGGTCTCCTTGGGCTGCACAGGTGCTGGAGGGCCGAGAATAAAGGGGCAGATTTGTACCCAGGCAGGGGAGAGCGCAAGCTGAAACCCCCATCTCTCTTGAGCCCAGAGCAGGTCCCTCACCTTTTCACCAAAGCAGGTGGTTTTTCCTGGGTTAAGAGAGTAGTCACAGAGATCTTTGTCTCTCCCTGCCTCTCTCTCCATCTCTTTCTGTCACTCTCCATATCTTTCCAGCCATCCTGATTTGCACACAGGGGACTGGCTTGGCCCCTGCTGATGTTGGACCCCTCCCCAAAGCCTAGCCCTCCCAACCTGACCTTGCCCTTTGACCCCCTCAGAGCAGCCTGTTCCCTCCACCCAGCAAAAGTCTGTAATCAGCTCCCCAGGCTGGAGCCAAGGCCAGCAGCTGAGGCTAGGGGGAGGGCTTCTGTCCTCCAGGGCCCCTGCCAATGCCCCACCCTTCTGTCCCTCCTCCCTCCATTGTGGCCCCTAAGGGTCTCTATCCCCCAGTCCCACATAGCCCCCAAGAGTCCCCATTGCACAAGTCTAGCAACAAACCATCTTTTCCACTGAACTCATTTATTCATTCAATGAATAGTCCCAGAGTCCCCTCTGTGCCCACCCCAGCCCAGCCACCAAGGATCCTCCAGGTCAGAGGAGACAGAGCTGGACACAGACACCACCCCAGTCCTAGGGTCAGAGAGAAGTACAGTGAGTGATGGAAGCACACCAGGGAAGCCTGCAGGGAGATGATAGCTAGGGTTTTGAGAGATGAATGAGAGTTTTCCTGGGAGACAATAGTGACAGAAAAGACTTGCAGGCAGGTGAGTGGGAAGGGCTTAACCTGCATCAGACACCTTCTCACAAGCCTGTAGGAGTCGACTCTGCACAACTGAGGGCCCATCACTATTAATCTGCTCCTTGCATAGGAGATGGAACTGACACTCAGAGAGGGAAGCCGACTTGCCCACAGTCACACGGCACGTAAGTGGGAGAACATCTCTGGCGCTTAAGCTCTGGACTCTGAGCCTCGCTCTTGCCATATCTTTCCCTCTGCCAAAACTGCCTTTCCTTCCCTCAGCTGCTGAAAAGCTCCTGCGATGTTCCAGTGTCTGTAATTGCACGACCTCCCCTCAGGTCAGAAAGGTCCCCCATGTGCAGGGGGTGAAACTGAAGTCCTGGGACACTCAGGTAGTTAGGGAGACCTGAGACCCCCGCCTCTCCTGGTCCCTTGCTCATTCCCAAACAGCTGCACAGGCTTCCCCAAAAAGGGAATTTCCAACCGGGGCAGCTGCTCTAAGTCCTTGGCTTCCCCCAGCAAAAGAGGGATAAGGAATAGAAGCCCAAGATTATACATATATTTAAACCTACTTAGCATCCCCACTGGAGGTGAGACAGGAAACTCAGGACCACGCCCTAAGAGGATGGGCACGATGGGAGGGGCTGAAATCTGGTCCCTCAGTTCTGCTGGGCAGGGCTCAGTGGGCCTCACTGAAGTGTCAGTCTTGAATCTTTACGATTCCAACGGCCACCAAGCTGCTGCTGCTCCACAAGCCAGGGGTGCCTCCCAAAATGCAGTGCCATTTGCCCCATAGGGGTCTCTGTGAAGCAGGAGGCCCAGAGAGGTACAGTTCTCTGCCCAAGGTCACACAGCCAATTCATGCAGACCAGAACCCACAGGTCTGTGTGTAGGAGATATAAAAAGGACAGTAAGTTTTTCCTTCCAGACAAGAAGGGAAGGCATGATTCTTGAGCCTCCAGATGCTACCCCTGGCTTCCACTCCACAGTGCATCCAGCTGGGGTCCCAGGGTGCTAAATGGAGGCCGGTCTTGTGGGCTAGGGGCCCAGCACAGCTTCATGAGCTCATGAACCTGAGGGGATGGGAAGAGACATGTTGGCACATGTGAGCAGTAGGGTGGATATGACTCTTATTCACAGTTTTAAAGTATAAATTAGATTCCATGCCTCCCCTGCTCCAAAGCCTCCTATGGCTCCCTATTGCTCTTAGAGCAAAATCCCGTCCCCTGCACTGCCTCCCTCCCTCCATCACCTCCTCTCTAGTTCCCTGCAGCCACATCCATCCCGTCTA